CGCAAGTTGACCCCAGTCGTAACTTTTTTCTTTTTTTATTTCCCCTCTGCTCTTCTTCTTTTTCTCCTCCTTCTTCTTCTGCTCCCACTTTTGCTTCCCTCCTTTCGATACGCTCTTTTCGCTTCGCTGTTTTTTCTTGTTTTCACCTGTGTCACATGTCATTAACCATATTCATGAAATACATGCAATAAACGTTTTTTTTTCTTTTTTTTTTATGTTTCTTTCAGGATGAAGAGAAGAATGAAAGAACTATTGTAAAGTTTATTCAATATTAAATTGTTTTTTTTTTTTTATTGCACCATTGAATTTTGTTCATTGTCAAAAAAGAAATAAAATTATAGGAAATTGTCTAACTAATTTATTCGAAGAAAAAGGTATATTTTTTATTCTCCTTTCTCATTTGTACGATAAAAATAATAATTTCTTTTTCTTTTGATTCATAGGTATCAGTTTTTCCTACAAGTGAAACAGGACATTCTGCAAGGAAGACTTCCCGTGTCTTTCGACTTGGCCGCAGAATTAGGAGCTTACGTCGTGCAATGTAAGAATATAACATTTTTTTTATAATATAACTTTTAAATAATAATGTAGATTTTTTTTTAACGAGTACCATACATATGCATGATTTATTAGTATTCATATAAATATAATATATTAATTAATATTTATGATTTATTATTTATGAGCCGTGTGTTCCTTGTTAGAAAATATTACATAACAAAATTTCCTAATATTTTTCTTTTAATAATTGTTTACTTTCTAATGTAAAACCAACGAAGAAAGTTACATTATATTCATAAATAATAAGCGGAAGTCTTAAGACTTTTCATAAAACTTTTTTTTCCTAAATTTACAGTTCTATATAAGATATCATCTCATTCGATAAGGCTGCAAAATAATCATAAGTTATTTCTTTATCTTTTAAACAATAAAAATTCTCGTTTGTTTCTCTCTTTCTCTCTCTCTCTTTTTTTTTTTCTTTTCAGTAGACAAGATTTTTCAAACAGGCAAAGTTATAATTTGAAGGAAATGCATCATGCAAATGTATATCGCGGAAGCGAGCATGACGAGCGCAATCAATCAGATGGTTAGTTAATGCTCGCCCGCGATTTCTTTTCGCAACGCGGCTTCCGTCAGCCGGTTGAACACGAAGATTATTACCGGTTCTAATGAACGTTATGATTAAAATTGGTGGCTTTAATTAAATCCCGGGGTATTAATCTTCTCAAGGTCAAAGAAAGTTAGCCTAGTAGACGCGGAAGAAGCGGGAGGAGCCGGTAATACCGTTGCGGCATTAACGTTCAGTATCAAATG